ATATATATATATATATATGTATACGGCAAGTTTTTTCCTGGATCCGCCACTGCAACTTAATTATACGCTATAATAAAAGCAATAATAATAAAGGTATTAGCAACATATCAATACGTACATCTTGAACCGGTGAAAATTCCTATTGGAATTCAGGGAGTTCATGCGATGGTGATGGTGTTGAACATAAACAGGTTCACTCCAACTACTTCTTTAGCTGGTGACATCAAGTCTTCCACATCTGCTGGCGACGTCACTTTGGTACCATATGCCTCTTCTAACGATGGCCAGTCAGACTGAAACATTTGTAATAACAAAACATTTAAGCATGCAAACAATAAACGAAACCATTTTTATAACATGAATACGTATAATTATCAGTGTATATATATATGTATATATATATATATATGTATATATATAATATATAGGCTTATTATATATATATATACATATACATATATATTACAATGACTACTAAAACTAATATATATATATATATATATTATATATATATATATTATTACAATGAACTACTAAAAATCTATTTCCACAAAATTGCATTTTTTATGTACTATTGTCAACAGACACTCACTGAAGTCATTTGAAAACATTGTAATACTATACTTGAAATTATTGTAATAGACAAGGCAAACTATGTTAACCCCATACATACCATGACACGAACAGGCGATTAGTCAGGACTTGATATACAACGTCCATCTCCTTGACTTGTAAGAGGGGCACAAAATGGTTCGAGATCCACGTACCACGTTTGGTCAGATTGCCGGTCCACATTATTGAAATTGGTTTCTTATGTGTCAACTTTCTTGGTTGGAATTGCCGATTGAGTTCTCTGAAACATCTGTCCTGTATACCATTAATTTGTGGACATACGGATTCAAAAGTCCTTCCGACAACAGATGCTGCAGTATGCATTGTCCACGCAGATGAATAGGCCCCACTCAGTAAGCATAGACTTGAAGCATCACCAGAGTCAGGAGAAAAATATTTCAATCGTACATTTGCTTTCGACTTTTCATAATAGTCGCGTTGTTCGAACATTTCGATTGCTGTTCTAACTCTCAGTTCTGGTGCCAATAAATCATTTCCACTAACAGCAACCGATATCGCATTGACAGTTTCCAACTCCTCGCACAGCAACTGGCTTCGATGTAGAAGTTGGACCAAATCTGTAAAATATTGAAAACGACTATGTATTTTATTTCAATTTTCCGAAAGACCGGAGGATTGATGGTGAATCTTCGTCAACATTTTTTTTTTTTTTTTT